AGCGTCCAAAGCACTCTTGACTTTCGTCAGGCGTTCGCCGCTTGTTTGTCTGCCTAGCCTGTTTGAAATCCAAACCAACGCTAACTGAGGCACTAGCTATGATAGAATTACATATCCAGAAATAATGGTACAGGGAATTTAACGTTGTTAGTATTTTTGTGTTTTAGAAATTTAAGCGAAGTTAGTCGCAATAGCAAAAGGTAGCTATTAGAATCATCATCACTTATGTAGAAGAAATGTCAATAGCACAGTTTGGTGACTCAGACTTTCATAATTGCGTCAAGAATATAGAGCAGATTGAACGACGAAGTCGAAGTCCAAACACTATTGTACCAAGGTCTCTGTGTGAGTAATAATAAGATTAAGGAGATCATGTTGATGCAAGTATTGAAATAGTAGGAAGAAATGCTAATCAACCAAGATCGAAGATTTTCGGCTTACTGGGCCCCGTATCAGTCTTCCCTGGTGGTTGCTAAGGGCGACATTATTAGCTACCGCAAACTACTGAAAAATATGAAGGCCAAATTTCCCTGTATTTTTCTCCTCAAGCAGATTGCTTCACAACGCCGACCCTTCTGAGCGAAAGGGTCCGAAGACTGTCTGTTAAAGATGAGTCATCGATCAGTCGGACATCCCTCCTCTGAACAGCACCGAGAAGGGATTTATGCAGCACCCCAAACTATACGTGCAGTAGTCGAGGGTCTTGCCGAGGTGAGGAGGTCATGTGGAGAAAAGTACTTCTTAGCCCTAAGCAAATACTCTAACTTTTATTCAGCAGCTGACGCGATTGTAGATATCTGTTCGTACCAGATCAGGTTCTCGATGATCTAGATTCTGGCCAGCCAAAATTAACGGCCATCCATCGAAATCGGATGAGCGCTAGGTACAGCACTGTATTTTGGAAGCATGAAACTGTACCAGATAGTTGCGTCTCAAACATACCAGCTTGGTCATCTGAATTCTGCATATCGAGTGATGTCATCATCATCATCTTTCTGTTCACATCCTTTACACGTGGATGTATCTCTATCATAAATCCTTAGTTTACAGCGTCCAATTGCTATGCTAGTAACAAACAAAGTTGTTGTCTGGACAGGGACAGGTAGCATTTTGGTATTTTATCACCAGAGTAGCTGAGAAATCTCTAACAAGTCAAGTGTCAGACACATGATCTCACATGTGTTTGAAGACTTTTGGGTGTATTTTTTCAAATAGTGGTCTCATTTTCTTCTATATGGTCAATAAGGGCTTTCATTTTTATACCTTTGGATACTCAATACTAAAGTGCAAAGGCGCGAACTTTTATTTAAGGTATTATAACTATTTCACTCAACGTCCAGTTACGCAGTAGTCAAAAATTCAAATATACACTTAACACCAACGTCTATAAAAATACCTGAGGGCAATCAAACATTCAAAACTAAGTATACAGGTATAAAAAAAATACACACATACAGTTTTTACACACGACTCACTAATCAACAAAAAAAAAACACAAAAGGTCAGCAGTGTCGGGATCTTCGACAAAAGCATCGGTGACAAGAACGACACATACTTTCTTTCCGTCCCTGAACTTGACTGTTCCTTCGATGACGCAGCTGTTGTCCACCATTTTCTTCGAATTGTAGACACACCGATAGATCACATGTCAATGTACGGCATTCCGATTGGCACACACATCGAAGGTATATCCCAAAGGGGGCACTTAAGTATCACCTCACTGTTAATGTGTAACTTGATCACTCAGGGACTGTTGGAAGAAACTTTGAATCAAAAATAACACTTCAGTTTTTTAGAGCACATAGTTATTAACACATATAGTTAAGAGGGCACAATTAAACTGTTTTCCATTTTTGTCATTAGAATTGACTAGATTTCATTCTGTGAAGAAAAGACACTTTCAGCCAGCAATAATATTCCTGTCATCATTGCAAACCTACAATACTCAGCCTTTAGCATTTAAAAAGACTACTTACTCCTTCCAAAACTCATTGAATATTTTTGAATTACATTGTGTAGGCTGATTTTTAGTAATTCCCTATTTCTAACATAAAACTAAAATAAACATAATATGTATCCAAAAGATTCTTTAGTTGGGCAAAAGTACCCATAAAGATAATCTGTGGTAAAAAAATGTTCAGAGGTGTCAATTGCTGAATTTCTTAATGTGGTTTACCTATATTATATTGCACATAGAGATTGAAACACATAATCTAGCTTGAAAAGCACATTTAAGTACAAAAACCATTAATACTTGTTGAGAAAATGACGTACAATGTTCTGCAACTGATGACAGAAAAGTACCGCTAACCAGCAGTGTTTGATGGAGTAAGGCACAAAAATGAGGGAGGGAGTACGGTTTTATAAATCTTTTGCTATCAAAGATACATTGTAGGTTGTCGCATTTTCTCTCGGCAAACTACGTAAATTGCTATTGCGGAATTTGCAAGAAGAGGTGATACTGTTATGGTCCGAAAGAAAGCCACATTTCAATATTTAATCATTCATGGACTAGTACAACAAAGTGTACGTCTGGAATGAATTGTTAAGATTCAGACGTACAATAATAAATGTAGCTGATTGTTGATAATCCATACTATTGTCTTTTTTTCTAAGAATTATATCGCGATCCATTACCAGGAGCTATCAAGTATCAATAGTTCAAATAACAAGAGGTGAAAACCT